TCCCTTCAAATCATGGTGTGCGGAGATGCAGATCGAGCGTCGATTCTCTGCTGTCGCCCTTCCGCAAGCGAACGGGCAAGCTGAATCAATCAACAGAACCATCCTACATGGAATTAAGACAAGGGTGCACAATGCCAAAGGGGCATGGGTCGAAGAGCTTTCTCGCGTTTTATGGGCATACCGCACCACGGCTCACTGCTCGACAGACGAAACACCATACAGTTTAGTTTATGGAATGGACGTTGTCCTCCCAGTCGAAATTGGCCTTGCAAGTTCTCGAATGATCAACTTTGTCGAAGACACCAACAATGAAGATATCCATACTAACCTTGGCCTGCTCGAGGAACGGCGAGATGCCGTAAAAGTCCGGGAAGCTAAATACAAAGAGATCCTCAAGAAAAACTATAATAAACGAGTCAAGAGCACTGACTTTGTGATCGGAGACTTGGTACTTAGGAAAAATGAAGCCAGTCGAGCAGAAACCCCTGGGAAATTGGCAGCCAATTGGGAAGGACCCTATCGAGTCATTCAGGTCTCTCCTTCGGGCAGTTACCAATTGCAGACGAAAGATGACACGGGAACCATTCTCCCTCGATGGTGGAACATTCAGAATCTACGCAGGTTCTATGTTTAGATTCCTTGCATGTTATTTGCTATTTTATTTGCTAAGTGATTTGTTGTTTTCATCTATTTGTGTGTAATGCTAACCCGGGTCCTTGGTAATTATTAATAAAAGTCATTACATATTTCTTCTATACATTGCACGTGTCGACACTATTTTCTATTTTATGACTAGTCATCGAAATGGACACCCTCTATAGAGCCATTCTCAAACTGAGCCGTGTATTCAACATCCGGACACTTAAGCCGAGGATCTCTCCTCGCACCTACCGTAGATCGCAGTGTTATTGAATCGAGGGATCCGTATCCGATTCCTCGATACTGCCGTGTACTTTACATTCGGCCAAACAAGTGCTATACAAATGTACTCGAGTGCAAACAAATAACTGACGCTAATACAGCTCGGTGCAAATATAAAGCCCTCACACTTAGTGCGGGATAAGAAAAATGTATCAACATGCACTTGATATATACCTAAATCTTGAGATCTTTCCCCTTGGGGTTGAATCGGGAAGGTTTAATAACGCCAGAACATCCCATTACCCTAAGCCTATAGAGACACTGACTAAGTTTATCCTTTAAATCTAGAATCTCTCAATTTTGGTCGTTGATTCTAAGAAGATACTCCTCAGCAGTTCCCCTTTCCTTCGCCTCATCATCCGGATCGAGGTCCTCGAGAATAGGTAAGGAAATCTCGTTGTCCACCAGTATGTTCTGCAGAACGGTAGCCTGATTCGAGTAGAACTCCGCCTCTTTGGTCCTCTTCTTTAGGAGGTCAATTGCGGCGATAAAGCGTTCGGTGCGAACCTTTATCTGTGCTTCGACTAGAGCAAGCGTATCGAACTTTTCGAGGAACTATGGGGACACGATGATCTTCTTGCGCTTCCTCAATCGAGCATTTTCTTTTTTCAGCTTCTCCATTTCCTCATTAATGTTGGCTTCTAAAGACAAGGAATCGTGAAAGTCCAAGTCATACTGGTGGAGTCGATGCTTCCACTCTTCCTCTTGTTGTCTAAAGCGTTGCACCAAGCGGGAGTGCGCTTGAAGGTTGAGTGCATTGACGGCATCGGTGAGCTCTTTCTCAAGGGCTTTCATTATGTCAGTATTGTGAACATCCCTCAACATCGAAGAAACCATCGTATACATGGGGAACTTCGCGACCTCATCTTTTTCGAGGATCAGTAGGCGTACTAGATGAATGAAATACGAATCCTGACATAATGGGCAGAAGTATATCAAATGTTAGAGGAAAAAAAAGGCGCTGATCTAAATTCATAATCGGCAAAACTTGTTCAAGAATCACTATAGCAAGCTAAGGTCTATAACTTTAGCAGCAAAAATCCTATTACAAGAGGAGAGTTCATACGTCATTTTGACCCGGAGGCGGGCTTGGCTGGCTTTTGTTTGTCTCCTCGACAGGGGTGGGAGTCGACGTCCCCTCATTTTCAGGCGCCTGGTCATTCTGCTCGTCCCCTTCGACTTACTCCTAGGAATCTTCTTCCCATTCCACATCCCCACAGATGAAATCCAGGGCCAGCTCCGGCACGCGTACCTCTTCTCTAGCATCAATTGGAAGCACTGTAATGGCATCACCTTCAAAAGAAGCAATCTATGTAGATGAGCCCATCTGAGCGACGGCGTTGCATAATGGCCCAAACAGAGGAAGTTGACCATCAGAGAGCTACTGCAACCCATTCTTTATGGCCTCATGGAGAGCCTTCTTGGGATGCGGCCTAATGAATTGCTGAAGCCATCCAGCATTGATAGTCCTTCTGCTCTCCATCCTCTCGAGAGCGGCCACAGCTACATCATGTCCCCCCAGCGCCTTGGCCTCATTGCTAATGCCCACCAGGAAGCTCGCCAATCCACCGGTCGGCACCATTCTCGCCCAAAAGACAGTCATCCATGCTTGCAAATCTGATTTGGGAATGTGAGACTCTCTATATTCTGTCAGCTTGACCTCGATCTCCCTGTACATGGCCTGAACCATGGCCAACTCCTGCTCCTTGGTGAGCCTCAGAGCCTGCTCCTCCTTTCTCGACTCCTCCTACGATAACTTCTCTTGCTTGAGGAGCCCCTTTTCGAGTTGCAAACTAGCAATCTCTTGTTTCAGTGTCTTCTCTCGCATAAGAATGCTGGCCATCGTGGTAGTCAACTGCAAAGAATACATACTAGATTCCAGCCAAAGTATCACAGGATTGCAAGAGAAAATGAACTTACGGTTTGATAGATCTTACTATTTTCAGCGACTCCTCTTCCGTCAAGGTTGCTGCAACTTCCTCAATAATGGGACACTCGATCCTAGTGTCCCCAAAATAATATATGGCGGCGGCAGCAGTGTATGTCGACGACCCATCAGTGTCTTCGACAGTGTTTTCTTTTCAAGCGAGGCCTCGAGTGGTCTGAACCACTCTGGATGCCGCTCTGTTACAGGGATGGCCTCGGGAAGTGGGCCCTCAGGAACTGGGTTCCCCTCTGTTTCCTGGGCAGTAGAGGGGGCGGTTCTTGAAGGATCGCCCGCCTCGTCAATTCTCCCCTCCTTCTCGACCGGGGCTTCCTCCTCGATAGGCTTCCGTCTCCTCGATGGTGGGCGGTTTCTTCTTCTTGGACTTTGCGCCTGCGTCAGACGTCTTGACAAGCCTTCGTAACTTCCTCTTCTTGGTAACTTTGTTCGACGACCCCTCATCATCTGAATTTTTAATTTCAAAAATCTGGGTGTCACAAACAATTCAACGGTATCTTTGCTCGACGACATGACCTAAAACAAAGAAAATGCACATAACGAGTTAATACCTTTTTTCTCCTCGACGCGGGTAGGGGGAATGTATTGTTGGACTTTGGTGTAGCTGAGGATGGTCTCGAAGGATGCCAGAGCGTTAATATCGGCTCTGTACTTCTCGATTTTTTTTTATCAGCACTGGTCCAAGTATCCGCTATGACACCTAATTCATGGGTTTCACGGTAATCCCACGCCACGCAAAACTCTTTTGGTGCGTCCACAAATATGTAGTTTGGCTTCCATACAGGGGAACCATCGAAGAGTTCTACTATGTGATCTGCTTTCGACGATTTGTTGGTTTTTACATTATACCATTCTTTGTACTTAGTCGAGGGAACGCAGACTTTAAAGAAATACCTCCACACTATTAGTCGAGGCGTGATGTTCTGCAATTCACATAGTCTCGCGAAACCGAGGACCGCTGTGACTAAATTTGGGGTAAATCGAGCAAGTGGAATTTTATAGTGCTGAACTATTTTACCAAACCAAGGGAAAAGGGGGAATCTTAACCCTAGAAACATAAATCTAGCATACACAGTAATTTTTCCCTCTGGTAAAGTGTCAGCCCATTCGTAGTCCAGTGGTACTCGATAATCTAGATCTACGGGGAAGTTATATTGCTTGGCGAGTTCTTTAGCCTTTGCTTCAGAGTTTATGGTTGATGCAAAACCAGATATTATCTGAGCGGCCATATCTACCCCAATATATATGCAAATCTAAGATTCAGACAAAGCAAAAGGCACATAGGGGTATTAAAAATACAAGAGGATTGAGAGACTTACTTCTGTCAGAGTTTGATGTACGGCGCTGAAATAATGCTTTCCCGGTGATGGGTCCTGCAAGTGCTTCCGGCGAGGATGGAGAATTTCTGTCGTTGACAGCAGAGATGAATGGCCGGGGTAGAAGGGTTGGATGTAGTTTGTGGTTGCAATTCTGAAAAAAAGATGAATGGCCAGTCTCCATTCCTTTCCCAATATAAAAAAGAGAAGAGCAAAATCTTTTCCTTTCTCTCTCCCACGACCTGACGTTTCAGGCGAAATTTAAGGGGTAATTATGAGTGCCCGGCCGCCGTTTGGGAATCGTGCGCACTGATGGGGCACGCTTGCTAGGATTTGGGCAGGATTTTGAAGCAGATTGCATTCCCAGGTCGGGTCTTGACCCGCGAGTTAATTCAACACACCTGCTTAAAGCACTTTGGGCCGTTTGAGCTGTTGGCTATGCAATCAACTTGGGCCAAGAACAGGTTAGATTTATATTTTGTCAAGTCTTGTTTATTTCATATAACTAATACTTGACAGGCGCACTTGATGAGTCCATATCCACCCTCGGTATTGGACCGACGCAAGAACCGTGTAAAGGGTCCAACCGACTTCAATAGGGCGGCAATGTGTCTAAACCCTAGAAGGATTCGGTTCCCTGGTTATATTTACTTGCCTATAAATAGGGATACAAGTTTCACAATTAAGGTACGTTATCTGAGTTACCAATCAATACACACACATAACCCTATTTTCTGACTTAAGCTTCAAAGTGTCTATCCTCGGGAGATGCCCAAAGTTCTGTTTTGCAGAAACCCTAACCGGAGTTTCACTAATAAAGCGGCGGTAGTAATTCCAGGTATCATCACAAATCATAGTGAAAGATCACATTACAATGATTATTTGTAGCCAAAGGCCATCAAAACTTAAACAAGACTGCAGAGGTAAATATCTATGTGAAGGAGCTATGAGGATTTCATTTTCAGCCAGGCATAAAAAAAAGTTACAAATGATATACACAGATGTCTCCCATTAATATCTTCAGAAAGACAAACAGTTGTATGATGTACACATGCACTTACCTCAGCTACATTTGCCACATTCCCATAAGAGTCCCTCGGGCAAACAAGAGAACTTACCCGGACAAAACAGAACCATTTTACAAAACCTATACTTGCTTGGTGATGTTACAGAAAATATTAGTTCTGCAATGACCACGTTTGCAGAATTTTCAGCACCACTACATTAGAGACTCCTACCAACTATAGCCATACCCTAAAATCTCAGGGAGACCGATTCTTTTAGCATACTCTAAAGTCAACCAACCCATAAAGGTGAAGTATGCTAAAAAGAAGCAAACACGCCCAAAACTGGCTGCATATGTTCTTTCTGCCATAGTCTGGCGTAAGGAGGACACCAACTTCCGCAAAAACGTAAGCAGGAAAATAGTTACCAAGGCACTAACAAACCCAGTAATAATTCCTGCTATAACTTCCAATCTCCAGAGATCAAGTGATCCAGAGTTTGCAAACCAAGATTTTAGTATCCTCAAAGACCTGGCAAAGGACAAATGGAGCTTTAACACAAGAAAAGGATAGATACACGTCAAAAACCAACATGAAGATGTATACAATAACCTTCTATTATCATAAGCAATTTTCCGAATAGACTAAGTTGAGTCTTTGTAGCCTACCCTCACAAAGACCAACAGAGGATCTAAATGGCGAAAAATGATAGATGGCCGAGTGTCCCTCAATACTGATATTAGAACACAGAAATTTATAGGCACAACTTGGTACTAATTTTAAATTAACATCATAAAGCAAATATGTATTTCATTCACAACGAATCCTAACCTTACAAACACAGAAACTATTCAACAGGAAAGGCTTAACAAATGGTTCTTTATATGTCGCATGAGATATGGAAAAATCTGGAAATTTCTGATCTTCCCATGGATAAACATTTTTATACCAAACACATAAATTATTTGCAAGAAACAAACTCGAACTTCAATAGACTCACAGGGTAATATATCGTCTGAGCATCTCAAAAGTAGATGGGTCATGAGCCTGGCAACTGAGAAAACCACGATGCTGCATGTTCACTTTTGAAATTCCCAATGAGTACCAGCAATCATAAGATTCATTTACCTAAAAAAGCAAGTGAACTTCTTAGACATGAAAAAGTAAAGAAGCTAGTCAACTTATATTGGCTGAAATATATGAAACATCATGAGTGGAGTTTCAAATTTCAAATCAACCTTAAATTTGTCTTTGGTCAGCCATGCGGCACCAAAACTTGGCCGACAGTTCAAAGGAAGGGCTTCATCTGGCACCTCTGCTGATCCAAGTCTCTCCTGACCAGAGTGATCCACATATTTGACCTGTGATTCAAAGAAAATAACATGATGCAAAAGCTATAAACTACCTTACACAAACGCATTATATGTGTTCTTCTGTGGGACAATAACAGGAACAGTAAGAAGCACCAACAATATCCTGTTTTTGAATAATGGATGGGAAAGGGAAAACAAAAACCAGCATGGAATGGAACTAATAAGAAAGATTTCAGATATAATTTAAAAGGTGACGTGTCTGATCGAGCCTGAAGACGACATAGCAGTCAGCATCGTTCGATCAAACATCTCTCCAAATACTCTCGTTACACATCCTAAGACGTCAATTCCATTTCCAAGTAAAATTCTGTTTCCCAACTTAGCTCAGGCATTTTATTTTTTATTACCTCATCTTGGAGAACTTTGAAGTAACCTAAATAATCTATGGCAAGGTTTTGGGTTTAAAGAAGCTTGTATTTAAGATCTGTAGTTCATTAATTACCTTCCATGAATTAGGAAAGCCCAGAACTTATTAGACTAGATCAAGCAGTATTTCAGGAAGCATAAAGCTGTCCATTATTGGTTCCTGCACCCAACCCTCCTTTCTCCCCTTCCTCCACCTGTCTATTTTACATGACACTTTATTATGATCTCTCTAGTAAGTCAAATCAAGTACTGTGACAAAACAAATTTCTTCATTTTATTTCAACTTCCAGACGCATTAACGTTTTCTAGTTCCCGCTTTACTAGCAGACACCAATAACTACAATATATTTTTCACTCAATATTTCCATGACTGGCTTCCTAATTCCTTATCAGGGTACTTCTACCTGCAGCAGCAGCTGCAGCATTTGGTAAGAAGACAAAATTTCAGATTCTACTACATATTTTCACCAAAACGCCATTTCTATGATAGCACTTTAAATTCATTGCATATATCCAAACTCAACCAAATTCTGAAACATCACTTATAAGCCATCAAGGAGTGTTTAGATGAATCGGCTCAGAACATGTTCATCCTCTCATATGTTATTGTTCCAATGCACTCTCCAGAGATTCCTTTAATTTTAGTCCCCAATCCACACATTACCTTGTTTCATAAACTCGTAAAATTACTATAATATGTGCACGTAAGACAAGGTCTTCGCACAGGACACACGTATGTTATTTCCATTTTAGGTAGCGTATTTGTTAACAGACAAATTCTTTGTTATTCCCCTACATGTGTGCATCACTGAAAATCGTTTCTGGAGATATTCATTTTGATGCATCACTAGAGAGCTTATTACTTATGGCTTCTTATTGGACTGACTAAGCCAAATGACCAGGAACATCAGTATAGTAGGGGGCAAAATCTCAACACGTGGGGAATTAATTTTTATGCAATGAAACAGTGCCACAAACTGAGTTAATTCGAAAATAGAAAAATATTAGTACGAATAATAAAACTAAAACATTTCATCAACAGTTAGACTAATAAATGGCCAAGGTGAGCAAATATGTACAAATAGAATCCACACGAGCAGAAAAGCAGTTACATTCAACTTTCCATTTAAATGAAATTGTTTATATCAGCTGCAAGGTATCATTACCTCAAACACTGATGCCCAATAGTAATCATAATGACATCGAAATTTCTTTCTTTCATGGGGATAAAAAACATGCTTAGCTCTATAGTTCAGTAATCCTAGTTCACAGACTTTGGAGGATCTCAAATCCACACCTGCAAAAGAGAAAAGAAAAAGGTTATGCGTTCCCATCCCAATAGCATATAAACATAATCAGCAATACAGGAAGGAATGGCATGCAATGTTCACCAATAGTTCGATTATGACTCCCCTTGTGCCAGTACACTAAACTTTCATCAAACAACTGTTTTTGATTCATCCATTCTTTTAATTGTTTACCTAATAAAAGAATCTACTTTACCAGCAAAGCCATTATTATTTAGCTTATGTCCTTTTCCAGCCAGAATAGAGTCCATCAGAAACAGCCAACATTGGTACTCTCCATTCATGCACGACAAAGTAAGTAAAGAGTGTGAAAATGTCATCGAACAAGAACCGATAATGAGCGCAAGCAGATTGAAAATCAAAATCTCAAACAAAAGCCACTAATTTCAGAAGTGTGATTATTTAGCAAACCGTATGAATACCTTATAAATAGTTCCAGTACAGAAGAAGCCATTCAGTCCGATATCTAATTTAGAGTATTTCTCAAGTATTCAGCACAAATTCAGCCTCTTCCGTATAGAATGCATTCCTCTACATCAACATATAACATAATATCCCAGAATTCCTTTCCCACAAACCACCTAAACTCAAAGCATATATACCATAGAAAGAGTTCCGCCCCAAAGCCGCATTTCCATAAATGCAATCGAAATGACTGTATTATTGCAATTTATCAGAAGCTAAAACGAACAGTAAATGCAAAATACAGAAAGAAAAAGGGAGAGTTAAAAGCGGAATACACAAATTACTTACTGCTGGACACTATCTTGCACTGAGTATGAACAGAAATGGGGTTCCAAATTGACATATTTCCAACGAAAACAGCTACAAAAAGCACCAAGATTGAAAGGGAAAGAGCTCCCAAAATAGTCAAAAACAGTCTAAAACACCTCCAACACGATAAATAAAAGCAACCCTTGTTGGGTTCTTCTACATTTTCTTCCTCCTCCTCCTCCTCCTCCTCCTCCTCCTCTGCTTCTTCACCTTCCTTAGTTTCCAAAGAATCCATGGGTAAAAAAGCAAATCAAATAATTATACTGGGTGAATTTTGGTTATCAAGGGGATTTCTCCGATTAACACCGGATATATGTACCGGTGATCGGAATGCATATATAGCGTAAAGCTTATGCGGTGGAATCTGGATGCATTTATTGTTCTTCTCGGCAAATTTTTGTCTCTATTTGCTGGAATTAAATTTTGGGAAAGACTTTGAAACAGTGCACCTCTTTCAGTCGGCAAAAGTTCAGAAGAAAGTCAAACAATATTAAGTAGTACTAACAGAAGAAGAACACTCTGTTCTTTTTCTTGTTTCCTTTTTTTTTTTTTAATTTTTTTTTTTTTGGTTAATAATACTATATGTTCTTTTCCCTTTCCGTTTATGCTGAAATCTATTTATTGCTTTTTCTTTTTCTTTTTTTTTTTCAAACAAAGGAACAATATATATTCATTCCGTTCCAAAATAAGTGTCATTCTAGAGTTTGCACACAGTTAAAAAATATTTAAATATGGTAGCTAAATTGCTAAAATATCCTCAACCAACTCTACTAAAATAAATGCTTACCAATAATATTATTTCTTTTGAGGGTATGTTTGGAATTTTTTGTAAAAAATGCATTGGAATCTGAAAACGACACTTATTTTGAAATTTTTTAATTTTGCTAAAACGACACTTATTTTAGAATGAATTCATTTTACTAAAACGACACTTATTCTAGAATGGAGCGAGTATTATACACCTCTGTGACAAGAGTTCTTGAATTTGACTATATTTACTAATGAAGACAATATTTAAGTAGTCTCTCCGCAAAAATAGTGTAGTTTCATACAAATATTTGTCCCAGAAAACAAATCTTACAGTTTCATGCTAAAATTTAAAGTATTTTTTGATTAAAATAATTAAAACATCACATAAACAAATATAGTGATAAGTGATTGTTTTTGATTGGAGACAAACCAAACAGGGACACACTTGAAAATTTGTGAATATTTAAGGTTATAGCTTGACTTTATTTTTTTTTTTGAGAAAACATATATATTATCTTACATATTACATAAAGTTTACAAACAGTTTATGAACTCATTACAACTTCTTGCTGCTTCATGCACTACCTGTAATGACACCCTATCGAACTTAAAGAACTTACAAAAGTTAAAAACCTGCTTTAACATACTAATTTCCTCTATGAGACTTTGAATTTCAACTGGTGGAGAATTTAGGGAGTCCAATGCTTCATTAAAGACTGGCAATCAGTCCTTATTTGTACCTTCAAGGCTCCGGTGCTTTTGATATCTTCCAATGCCATTAAACAAGTTCTCGTCTCCGCTTGAAGTGCCGAAACAACCCAAAACTTTACAGCTCGTAAGGTAGACTCCTCACCTGCCCCTGTGGTCCATTTCCAAGCTCTTGCCGCTTCCAAGGTATTGGCTTTGAATGCACCATCGAGCAATATAATGATGCACGTCTCATTACCCAGTAATGCACCCTGACAAAGGTTAGAATTCTTGCTTGGAACACTCTTCTCATATGCAGAACAAATTCTCAGAATTTTCAACTCTTCCTCCACCTTTCGTAATAGTACCCCCGACTCACAAATTTCGGTCTCCCAGTGGCATTGATTACGACTAATCCATATATACCACATAAGTACAACAGACTCCTCCACCAATTGAACATTTGGCGTTTTATTCATCCAAGAGCAAAACCAGTCACTAAATCATCTGGTAGGTTGACCATCGAAATTAAAACCAAATGTAGAGAGTCTCCAAACCATTCGAGAATGTTCGCACTCGAACAGCAAGTGAGATTGTGTTTCCTCCTTTTGATTGCAACGACAATAAAGAAGATACTAGAAGTTACTGGACTGTATAAGAAGTAATTACCATGTTGTAATTTTCCTTTTTACTCTAGTCTAGGGTTTCCTGTTTACATCTTGTAATTCTGTATAAATACTTACATCGATTTCAGACGCTTGCGGGCATCGCAGGTACATCCGCCGCATGAACACGTCGAAGGAGGCCTCAGGTTCTGCAGTTCATTGAGAAGTCCTTTGAGTTTGCCATAGTGAATTGGCGTTTGCATCCGTTCCTGCTGAAGCAAGGCAACAGAACGCTTCAACTTGTACGCCCTGGCAGCAATACCCTGAGTAAATCTCTCCTCCAAATCACGCCATATTTCAACTGCAGTTTCAGTGTGAGTAGCGGCTGTTTGCAGCTCCTTACAGATGGAGTTCGTCAGCCAAGATTTTATCAGTGCGTTGCACTGGATGCATTGCTGGTAGTCACTGGAATTGACATCGGGACGAGCCATACTGCCATCCACAAAACCGGCTTGTTTTTGGATTGAAGGGCAGTGAGAAGGTTGCTTCTCCAAGTGAAGTAGTTATCTCCGTTTTCAACAAGTGGAGTGGTGACAAAAAGGTGGCCAGGATGATCCGCCGGATGAACATAGTACGGTGATTTCGTATCAACAGCCGAACCGACTTGATTCGAGTTCTGGCCTTGAGAAGAATCCGTTTCCTCAGTAGAGATCGAGGTGACAGGGGTCTTATCTCTCATGGTTATGCTTTTTTAGCAGCGGAAAAACTAAGCAATAGGAAGAAGGGGCCAGAAAGCTTTGATATCAGCGGCCGAAAGAAAGATAAAAGAACTAGGGTTTTGAATAAAACCTAGCTCTGGATACCATAAAAGATTTGGCCGAAAAAAGATCATCTCTCATTGATTTGATGCAAGTATTTATACAAAATTACAAGATGTAAACAGGAAACCCTAGACTAGAGTAAAAAGGAAAATTACAACATGGTAATTACATCTTATACAGTCCAGTAACTTCTAGTATCTTCTTTAGACAACAAATAGGAGAAATATTTACACCCCGTTTAACCAGTTGCGTTGTAGTAGCTAGGGCACCATGAATAACTCTCCAAATGAAGTGCATGAATTTGGGTGGCAGCTTCATTCTCCACAGTTTTTTCCAAAACTCATCAGGCAAAATAGGTGGCGACGGAGGATTTCCACCACTGCTGTTTAATGCTTGGTAATAGCCCGACTTAACTGAGTATTTACCATCCTTCTCATGGGTCCAAAACAGTCTATCCTTGGAGACTGTTGACCTTGTAGGTATGTGGATTAATTGAATCTGCTTTACAGCTTCTTCTGGAAAAAGTAACTTCAACAGAGTTGTTTTCCAATGCTTTTGATCATCCAGCAAGTCTGTAACTTTTAGAGAGGAAAAATTGCTACCTATCAGGTTATATAGCTTAAAGGATTCTCCATACCTAGTATCCATTCTTCTTGGATGTTAACCTATGTCCCAGATTTTATTTGCCATTTGACTGATGACGCATCAACTCTCTTCCCCAATGAAGGCTCTTCCAACCCCAAGTTGATGACTTGGTTGGATTCACATTTAGAAATTTTTGCCTGTGACAATACTTGCCTTGAAAGAACCTGGCTACTAACGAATTTGGACATTCCACAATTGTCCAGGCAATCTTACCCAAAAGAGCTTGATTGATCTCTTTGGCTCGACGCATTCCTAAGCCCCCTCGAAACTTTGACATACATATATTATTCCATGCTATGTTATCTGGACTCGGATACGGGTGTCGTATCGGGTGCGGGGATCTGAGTGTCCGACTCCTTAATATTTTAGAAATCTTGGACATTTTAAGCTAAAATGTCACACCCGACACTCATATCCACACCAGTGTCGACACGACACGACACAGGTATTCTCCCCAAGTAGAAGAGTCCGGGTAACATAGATTCCATGAAATCTAATGAGTTCCCCTGTAATCGAAATTCCCTTTCCATATGAATTTTCCCATAATTTGATCAATTTCACTGTAATACGAACTGGAATCTAAAGACACTCATTAAGTACAAAGGCGATGAAGCCAATGCATGTTTAGCCAACACAGCACGCCCTTGAACAGATAAAGAGACAGTTTCCCACTTGGAGATCTTGCACGATAATCTCTTAGGAGCTCCGAAAAAAGTTTCGTCTTTATAATGCTGAAATCAAGATTAGCACCCAAGTTTTTTCCAGCCAACAAATCCTTATGAATATTCAGGGATAATTTGGCCCACAATTTCTCTGTTTCAGACATATTTGGACTGAGAAGGATACCAGACTTTTCGAACTTGAATCTCTGACAGACCATTTAGCAAAACTATTTAGCCTGCTACACAGCTCTTTCATACCATGCTATTCCATAAATAAAATAGTGTCATCAGCATACATCAAGTGGGAAATACGAGGAGCATACCTTGACACCTTAATACCTGGCTGACAACACCTTCTATTGGACAAGATAGCAAAGATGAGAAAGCTTGTTTGCTTATGATAAACAAAAAGGGGATAAAGGACCACCCTTGCCTTAGCCCCTTTATGGGGTTAACAATAGGAGAGGTCCACCCGTTCACCCGCATAGTATATGAAACTGTTCCAATACATGCTAAGATGGAATCAATCCACCGCTGGGGGAAGTTCATACGAATTAGCACCTTCTTAAAGAAACTCCAAGACACCCGGTCATATGCTTTATTCATATCTAACTTAATGGCCATCAGCTTCTTGGCACCCTGTCTCGACTTCCTGACATGCTCTATAAATTCATGGGCAATCAACAAATTTTCGCTGATATGCCTTTTGGGAACGAAGCCATTCTGATATTCATCAATGAGTGAGTCTATCACCAACCACAACCGATTAGCCAGAGTTCTTACAACAATATTATAACTTACATTACTCAAACTTATCGGTCGAAAATCCCCCGGGTTTTGCGGCACCTTACACTCGGGAATAAAAATTATTTGAGTCTCATTCCAACCTTTTGGTAGTCGCTCATTGTCAAAGAAATCCATAACTGCCTGTGTAATTTCCGGTCCAACAATATCCCAATATTGTTGACAAAAGCCTGCGGGGATTCCATTAGGTCCTGGCGCTTTCCATGGAGCCATTTGAAAAATAGAATAGTTGATCTCCTCTTCCGTAAATGGCTTCTCAATAAGACAAATGTGCTGGTCGTTCAACCGAGAGCAATTTTCTCAATTAATGCATCCACTCTATAGAGTGGAGAACCATCTTCTGGAAACCGGTCAATACTAGTGTAAATGTCTCTATAATACTCAAACATGACTTCATTTATTTCTTCAGGTTCAACATCCCATTCACCATTACATTTCTGAATGCTTCCAATATGATTTATACCTTTCCTAATTGAAACCCATATTTGGAAGAACTTTGTATTTCTCACCCCCTGCACATTCCATATTGTCTTTGCGCGTTACTGCCAATACTCATTCTCTTGCTCGAACAGCTCAGAAGATAACCTAAATCCTAAATGATCTTCAAGTTGTAGATTTCTAGAATCCAAAGCATTACATTGTACCCTTTGCAGCTG